GGCAGCTCAGCTCAAGGTGCCGAGTTCAGTCTTAGTTGCAGGTGGGCGTAGCCCACCATCAAACAGGCAATCTTGTTGTTACAACAGCTGAGCCATCCTGCCACCTGTTGGCAGCTCAGCGACAGCTCAGCTTCGGCGCAGTGTCACTGGCCCATGTGGGACTCGAACTGTTGGCCCTGTTGCTCAGAGCTCCACTCTTAAGCCAACTCTTAACCAAATGAGCCACTTGGCCAGCCCCCCCAACTCTACCTTTGAATGGGTGGCTATCTGTGGTTGCTGGTTTTCACAGGAAGACTCTTATAGTTTACCACTTCTCTCCCCCGACCCCAACCCCCTGGCCAAGGAAGGGCCTCTGCCTCCTCCTAACTTGACACTGCCAAGAAACCAAAAGGAGACATCACCGATCTAGTGGACACTCCACCAACACTAAAAGCCATTCTCTCTCCCTGAAGCCCTGCAAATAAAGATGAAACAAAGAGATGACTGGGCTAAGTGGCTTTATTAGAGAAAGCCAGGATCACAAAGGACTTAAGAGTTGGCATTAGGGCCCTTCTTCTTGCCAAAGGTGGGCACGACATTGACAAAACGCCGGTTGTACTGCATCCTCCGCTTGGCTCGGCCAGTCTTCTTCTTCTTCTTCTCCTGTTTGGCCACCTGGGGAAAGGGAGGGCTAATTAGACCCTGGTTGATCTCGTCCATGCCTTGCCTCAGGCTTATCTCCTGAGGAAGGTGACAGGAAAACAAAAACGTCCAAAGGGCACCACTAATACTCTCTTACCTTGGGAGTCTGACCTCTTACTTTCCCAGCACGGGCCAGGGAACCATGGACTTTACCTGTGGTAGAAAAGGACAGCAAGCAGTTAGGATAGCGAGAAGGCGCCGCACAACAGAATCCTTTCTCCCTCAACTCAAGCTTTTAAAGGCAAGCTGGGCCCAACAGGGAAAGAGAACAAAGTTGCAGAGATTTGATGCCTGCCCAAAAATGTCTAGTGTGGTACATTCTGGGGTTTCACTTCGGGATTTTCCAGGCCCTGACTTTAAACAAGAACTGAAGAGCACCTTGGGGATCTGGTCTAACCTGATTTTAGTGAGGAAACAGACAAGGATCTAGTACATGACTAAAATAGAACTATACTCCAGTTTTCTCCCATGGACCTCTCAAGAGTTCATTCTGAAGTAAACAGGAAGAACCACACTGGATTGAGGACAGTGATCTCCACACCCACATCTGTTATGCGCTTACAAGCAGTTCAAAGGACAGTCCTCCCCAACTCACCTCCAAGCATGCGGCCGGCTACTTCCAGAGTGGTCAGAGCTTCCACCCCACACTGGCCCAGGGTAGCCTCATCCTCTAGGGGCGTGCCTGCCAGGAGCACGACTTGATCTTCTGGAGCGATGCCCTCCAGCGAAGCTACATGGGCCTACAGGGAAAGGTGAGGCTCATTAGTGTTCCCGTGGGGAGCGAGGTTAAGGAACACAGGAGGATGTAGCCCGGGAGCACAAAGCAGCCTTACCTTGATCTGGGCAACTGTCTCCTGGCCGGTCACCTCGAGGGTGTGCAGATTTTGGGCGCGGACAAACAGCTGCATGTCGGCGACTGTGGAAAGAAATGCTCGTCAGAGAGGAAATGCTCTGGGAGTAAGGGAGTCGGGGAGAGGGTGGCTGGCCGGGGACGATCGCGAGTCTCACGTGCCTAAGGCCGGCCAGCCAGGGGGGTCGGGTGGTGACAAGAACCCGGCCCGCAAAGCAGCCCTTCTTCCTCTTTTTTTCCCGTGCCATCAGATCTCGCGGCCAACCTATTAAGTCTTCGGGATCCAGCCGTGGCCCAAATCTTACCTGAACTGCGGCCGTTACCGCTAACGCGAAGATGGAGTCGAGAAAGAGGAAGAAGCAAGGGCGCACACGTCCTCACTGCCTGCTGCGTCTCACGTCACTACTAAGCGACTGCGAGGGCCTCTGATATTTGATCTGATATCATCATCCTAGCTCCGCCCCCTAACGCTTTGCGTGGACGCTCTTTCCGTCCCCGGCGGCTTGCACAGGAAGGGGCGGGACCAGGCTCGCTGCGCGCGCAGGAGGCCTGTAAACTGGGGTAGTTCAAGATGGCAGCGGCCGTGTTCCGAGCTTCGTTGCGGGGTTGGAGACCCAGCGTCCTGCCGGGCTGCGGGCTACGGCGGCTGGTGAGACCACTGAGTTTGGAGCTGGGGGCAGAGGGCTGGGTGTGACGCTCACTGTTATTCCTTGCAACCCTGAAAACCGCGTTACTACTTGGGGCTTAATTTTCCCATCTGATCGGGGGCACTTTTCTGGATCTCAGGTACAAGATTGAGAGTAGGGGGGTGGCAGGGCCTGAAGCGTGCTTGAGAGTGTGGGGGTTGGAACCAGATTGGAGGACAACCCCGGTTAGTCACAACTGGGAGGGGTTGCACATCGATTCTCGCTGCCTAATTTTTTGAAGGGGAAACATTGGTCCACAGGGTCCACAGGTCGGCCCGATCATTGGCGACACTTCTGGGAACCTAGAGCTCATGATATACAGGCCACCTTATTCTGCCTGCCTGTTCTCATTATAACCCCGCGGTATATCAGGACTCCGGGTTAGCTATTGGTAGAAGTGTCCAAAAAGTATCTTTAGGCTGGAAGGTGGAAGGACAGACTCTGGAGTTGTGACCCTACGTGGATTGTTTAATGTCTTAATTTTCCTTGGGGTAATACAATACGTAACTTATTGCATTATAAGAATTAAGTGAAAACAATATCCGTAAAGCACTTGGTACAGTGCCTGGTGGTGTCTGTATGAGGCCCAAGCGTTCCTTCCAGGAAAGGTGGGGGTGGGGGGGGGATCACTTCGGATGAGTGTGAGTAGAAAACTGTCATGCTTAAAGTACCAGAGCTAGAATATTTCAGTAGAATGTTCAGAAGAAACTTTCAATACTGAAATATGCCATATCGGTCAGACTTACGGTTAATAGGTTTTTCAAAAATATACACACACTTCTCATTTGAGTCCCAGGAGGGACTAAGAGAAGTAGCCCCTTCAGAAGGTTTGAACTTCTTTTTCAGTCTCACCCTGCACCTTGTCAGACTGAAGCCTGGTGCTTTCCTATCTCCAGCCATTTATGCCATTCTCTCCACCTGCAATGTTCCTTTTCTCTACTTACTGAAGTACTGCTTATCCTGTGTTGGGTTGGTGCGTGGTAAATGGGCCGATGGAGAGATGGTTGTTTTTTGTTTTTGTTTTTGCTTTAGAGCCAGACCCAGGGGCCTCCCGATTACACCAGCTTCGTGGAGTCAGTTGATGACTACCAATTTGTGGAGCGTCTATTACCCCCTACCAGCATCCTAAAGCCCCCAAAGCATGAACATTATCCTACTCCTAGTGGCTGGCAGCCCCCCAGAGGTGAGCTGGGTAATGGGAATGGCCTGAAGGCTGGAGGGAAGCACCCCTTCTTTGTGGTTGGCCTGAACTCCTCAGTGGGTTCAGGACTTGAGTTGAGATCTCTCAGGATAGCATCTATCTCATGTTCAAGCAAGGGCCCAGGAATGGAGTCCTGTTTTACCAGTACATACATTGACACTGTTGGGGTGAGGTCTTCCCATGAAGGAAAACTGAAGCATAGAAGACCCAAGAGCTTGGACACCCCCCACCACCACCCCGCCCTCCACCTGTGGTCTATGTACCATACTTGAGAACATAGCTTGGGAATTGGGCAGTTCTGGATCTGAATTTGGCTCTGCTATTCGTTGCCAGTGTGATCTTGAGTTAGACACTTAGCTTTTCCCAATCTCAGTTTCAGCAAAATGGAGATAATCTGTTTGGAACCTAAAGCACTTAGTGCAGAGCCCAGCATGTGGTAGGTGTTTCAGGAAATTTAGGAAATCCCCATCCCTTTGTGCCAGAGATGGAGGTTAGTCTTCTTGACCCAGAGGAGAAGGGCAAGGATTGGCCCCCAAGGGGGACCCAAAGATTCAAGAGGGCATGGCCGTGACTTCATTTCTTCTTGAGCACCTTCTTTTGCCAGGCCCAGGGTGAACAAGATGGTCCTGGCTCTAAACTTAGGAAAGATCAGATCTTCTGATCTGAAGTCTGGAGGTGGCTTTACTGTCGGGTGCACTAACCCTCTGCAGACTCAGAGGGGAAAGGCCTCGGCTGAGGTGGGATGAAGCCTGGGAAGATTTGACTTATCACCATCCCTTTTGTGTCCCAGACCCCCTGCCCAACCTGCCCTACTTTGTGCGGCGCTCTCGGATGCACAACATCCCTGTCTACACGGACATCACACATGGCAACCGCCAGATGACTGTGATCCGGAAGGTGGAGGGGGACATTTGGGTAAGTGGGTGGGTGGGTCAGGGTCTGATTGTGGATGAGGGTCAAAGGGATGGGAGTCCTCTAGAGGGGAATGAGTTTCAACCAGGCTTGATTTGTCACCTTTGCCTAGGCCCTGAAAAACGATGTGGAAGATTTTCTGAGCGCACTGTTGGGGAAGACACCTATCACCCAGGTCAATGAGGTGACAGGTACCCTGCGGGTCAAGGGCTACTTTGACCAGCAGCTCAAAGCCTGGCTCCTAGAGAAGGGCTTCTGAGGCCCAGCTGAGCAGCCTGCATGACAGCATCCCTGACAGACTGGATTCCAGGGGTTCTCAGGAGGGGGGTATTGGAGCAAGCAGGATCAGGGCTGAGCACTTGGGCATGGTAGAGTTAAGGGCTAAAGGGCTTCAGAGCAGGCCTTGGTTGCATAAAGAGGGAAATGGGACCCTCTGCACAGGTCCCAGCCTTGGGGGAGGGCTATCTAACATTGGATACCCACCAGAAACAGCTGAGCTAGTGGGGGGTATTAGTTGCTGTCCCTCCCTGCCCCCCCAACTTTGGCCTGTTCCTGCCTTCCCTTCAGTGGAGCTCTTTGGGCTCAGCTATTGTTTGTGGAGGTTGCTCACTGCCTTTTTGGTGGAAGCAGTAGCCCACCTAGTTTAGGAGAAGGTAGCACAGGACAGACCCATTGGGCACATTCCTCCCTTGGCCCTTAGACCCTCGCTGCTGCTGCTGTTCCCAAGCCCTTGCTCCAAGCCAGACATGGCTTAGAGGCAACAGCATATGGATGACTCAGACGTGGGTTCTGGAAGTCTTCAGTTCCAAGTGCAGTGCTGGGCACAGGGGCACAGAGTGCCCATGTCAGCCTCTAGGCTCATTCATTTTACCCACGGAAAAGTAGAAGGCCCAGTCCCCTCTGCCCCATGCCAGACCAGAGTTGGGCCTGACTGGGTTTCCAGCTCAGAAAAGCTAAGTGATCAGCTTTAGCTCGTCTGCCCACAAGGGGGTGCTTGGGCGCTCCTGGCAGCCCAGCACAGGGCCGTCCTTCCCAGCTTGCTGACCTGGTGTCAAGGCTGCCTGCTTTGCAGGCAGGAAGGTGATGGCCTTTTGCCTCTGCTGTACCATCCCACCCCCAGCCATTGAACCTTCACACTTGCTGTCACAAGGGCCAAAGGCTTGAGTTCCCAAACCCACCCCAGCATCAGACTAAGACAGGCTTCAAAGCCTGCCTTCCCTGCTTGGTCTCTTATCTTAGGCAGGGTAATTAACCTTTGGGGGCTCAGTTTCTTCATGTGTAATATGAGTATCTCTTCCTAGTAGTTTAATAACAATGTGCCCAAAGACAGTGCTGGCTTGTATAAGTAAACCCTCCCTCCTGGAGGTCGGTTCCAGGCCATTCTCCAGTCTACAGCCTGAGCAAGAAAAAGGACTCCGGCACACCAATCCTATGACACCAGCTCCACCAATCATTAATGCAAGTTTTTATTTGGCTGTATATACAATTTAAGCTATTAAAATTTGTACAATATTTACAAATTAAATAATCATCTGAAACTCTCCAGCAACTCATGTAACACAAAACGGAGGGAAAAAGGCAGGCAGGCAGGCCTCGGCTCCTATGTTCCCTACCTGGCCCAGAACCTCTTCTAAATTGGAGAGACCAGGAGTCTGGCACTCCTGCGCCTCTTTCCTGGGGTCAAGCATTTAAATTCAAAGACAAAATTTAAGCCAAAAGGTAATAGCAAGGAAGTAATTCCAAGTCTTCCAAACTCTGAAAGTAGAGAAGTGGCCTTGTGAGGATTCTGGGGCTTGCAGTGGTTCCAGAGCAGACACAAGCCCTCAGCCTGGAGTAAGGCTGGGCAGTGGCTGCTGGGTAAGACCAGGGACAGTCTCACTTTAAAACAAACTGCGGGGAGAGGGACCTGGGGGGAGGGGCAGGGCAGGGTCCCTCAGTGCTGCCCTCCCTCTCTGCCCCAGGCACTCCTTTCCCTGAGTTGTGTGGTTGCATGGAAATGCCACAGGGCATAAGGGACACAGCCACCACCACAAAGGGCTTCCAGAGAGTTTAGGGTAAGGTAAGGACATCAGTACCAGTCTTGGTGGGTGGGCCAGGGAGCAGAGTCCTAGCCTGCCCCCAGCCCCTTGAGTCCACACTGGGGAACAGGAGGTAATACTGTTCGGCACTGCAGCGTGACTCCACACACACAAGTGAGGCTCGGAGGGGCTGCCCCTTTGCCCAGAAAGAGGTGGGGGGCAGAGGGCTTCTCAGAGGCTGCACCCTTCTGCTTCACAGCCCCAGCAGAACATAGGGCTGAAGGGTGGCAGAGGGAGGCTGGAACTGATCCAGGGTCCCCATGGCTGCCCAGGACTGGAAGGGCTGGAGTCAGCTGGGCCCTTAGGCCTCCTTCCACTGGCCTAGGGGATGCCACCTCTTCTGTCTCAGCTGGGTTACTACTCCCTGGTACACAAAGAGAGGGAGCTGGCACTTGGTGGCAGGACATGTTCCAGCAAGGGCTGCTTGAAAGAGGGGGGTGGGGGCCAGGACCGGGGCAGTGTCAGTGGGCAATGGGGGATTCCAACTTCTGCAGGCGGCGGCGACGGAGCTCTGCGGCATCCGGCTCTCCGTCCTCTGGAAGCTCCTCGGTGCCCACTGACTCAGGAGCTGGAGATAGAGAGGTCAGAAGTGGGACCCAGGGAATTCCCCTGCTCCACCCCCCGTAGGCTGACCACAGCTACCTGGAGGCTTTTCAGGTTCAGGGGCTGGTGGGGAGGCTCCTGAAGACGGGGTAGTGGCCTCAGAGCTGGGCATGCTGGTGGAGGAAGCAGCAGCGACAACTGTAGGGACAGTCTCCTCAGGGGGGTTGACTGAGGTGGCAGGCCGGGGGGGCCTAGGAAGAGAAGGGACGAGGCAGGCCTGGCTTTGGCATCCTGGCATGACTAGGCAGACTCTCCTGCCCCTGGTGAGCCTTGCAAGGCAGAGTCCTGCACTGATGTTCCCCCACAGCCCTGGTGACCAGCAGACACGAGGGGACACATGTTGTAGGAATTCTTGTGATTGTATAGCAGACTGATTGGTTGTAAAGCAACTGCGGGCAGAGACTGCTGGCCTATTTGCTGTTACACTGCCGTCTCCACCCCAGGGTGTCAGGCTCCTCATGAGGTGCCTACTAAGACACTCCACTGAATAAAACAGCACCTAATCTCAGGCTTGAGCTCCCCATCACACCTATGCCATCATTGTTGGGTGCCAGGCACTTTGTACATGTGAACTGTGAATGAGAACCCCCCTATTCAAATAAGGTAATGGTGGGCACAAAGCATGTGAGTGATGGGACCAGGACCTGAACTCAGGCCAGGGTGGCTCCAAGTGACTATGTGCTGCCTCAGATCAGGGGCACTGACTCCCAGTCAGTGTTACCATATGTCATGAGAGAGTGTACATGGGGAGCCAAAACACTGAGGATTATGGCTAATCTGACTAGGAAAATACAAAATAACGAGATTCAAGGCCAGCTCCAATAGTCCTCACTCACACTTAGATCCAGACAGGCAGGCCTTCTGTAGTGGGAGGATAAACAGTACCAAGAACCCTGAGACCCTGGGTGTGCCTACAGCGAGGTGGCCTGAATCAACAGGTATCACAGGGTGGCAAAAGAGAAAAGACCAAAATCCACTGCTGGGGGCCTTCTCAGCAGCCCCACGCCCTGCGACCTGCCCTAGCCCCATGCAGACGTACCCCAAGGAGGCGAGCACAGTGAGGTACTGGTTGATTTGCAGCATGGCGGCGTCCAGCAGCGTGTGGATGTTCCGCAGGCTCTGCAGCCGGGCTTCTAGGTGCTGCCGCTCATGGCCTTCCAGGGCCCGCAGCTCCTCTGGGGTCAGCCCCGCAAAGCCGGCAGGGGGCACGGGCATCGGGGGGAAGGCTGAGAGAGGCAGAGGCTCAGCCTGGGCTGCCTGGGCCTGACACCCCTCATCCTCCAGAACAACCCCGAGCACGGCCCCACTTACCAAAAGGTGGAGGCAGCGGCATGCCCATCCAGGGAGGGGGGAAGGGGAAGCCTGGGGCGGGAGCAGCCTCAGTGGGGGCAGAGCCAGGTGCCGGGGCAGAGGCAGAAGCAGCTGTGGTTGTGGCTGCTCCACTGGGCCGAGAAAGGGCTGCTAAAGAGCAAGAACAGGAAGTTAGTGAATGTCGAGGGGGCTCTTCCATTCCTCCCACCTCTTGGCTGTCGCAGTACCCAAAAAGCTCACCTGCACTGGTGGATGGAGGGGCCACAGCCTCTCCTGAGCTGGGGGGAGGTGGGACAGGTGGAAAGGGGCCCATGGGGGGCCACAGCGGGAACATGCCTGGAGGAAAGGGAGGCAGGAGGCCCTGGGGGACTGTAGAGAGAAGACAGGACTTGGTGAGACAGGTCCCAAAGTGAGATAGGTCCAAATCACAGGCAAGGGGCCAGTTATTGGGAGCTGTGTCCTCTGCTCCCATAGGTCCTCTCTGAGCTCAGCACTGACCACTCTTGACTGCAACCAGCTGTGTCTCTTCCTGTGCCCTAACCACCCCCATCCAGATGGAACTTCTAGAGGGCAGGACTCTGATGCCCCTCAATATTGCCCACCCAGCCCAGGGCAAGTACTCAGCAGTGTACTAGATGGCAAAATGAGGGTCCACTCACAATTGGGGGGCTGGGGCAGGAGTGGTGGCGGATGGGGGGCCGGTGGTGGCCCCTGATCTGCAGGTTCAGGGGGCGGTGGTGACTGGGTTGGCAGCGATGCACGAAGGACATCCATTCGGCAAGTAGGGCAGGTCTGCTGCCGCTGGAACCAGGAGCGTAGGCAACTGAGGACCAAGACCAGGTACTGGTCAGCAGGTCCCTAGGGGCCTGCCTCCCAGAGCCCGTCCCAATGTGCAGGCTCCCCAGGGCCCCTCCCACCTGGTATGGAAAATGTGGTTGCAGGGCAGTCTCTTGGCACCAGTCACCATCTCTTCTCGACAGATGATGCAGACATTGTCCATTGCCTGGAGTTCCTCTGGGGTGGCATCTGGGTATCTGGTTAGGATAAGCCAAGGGCATGTCAAGACCAGACCTAGAGACAAGGGGTCTTGGGGTACAGCTCGGGTGAGCACCTAAGACAGGCCCACTTACAGTGTGTTCATGTTGCGGATAGCTCGGCGAGACATGATGGCGTCTGTGACAGCTTTCTTGAACTGCCTGCAAGGACAGTTTCAGTGAAAGTCAGGAGAGAGAGGGGAAGCATCAGACGGGTCAGGTGTGGCAGGGCACAGCTGGCCTGGGCTCACCTCATAGCCAGGTACATAGGCCGGATGGCAAAGAGAGGAAAGGTGTGCACCTTGATCATGATGGTCATGAAAGCCATGTACAGGAGAACTTTGATGAAGCCTGGGGAGAAAGGGTGTGCAGAGAGCAGCAGGTCACGGCCTGGGAGGCAGGGCCGGGGACACTAGTCCCTGTCAGGGGAGGCCCAGGCTCCTTTCACCTGTAAAGAGCTCTGTGTAGAGCATGTACACAGCCTTGTTGTCCCAGGGGTTTTCGCTCTGGAGGTCCACGGAGTGCAGAACGTACTTAATGAAGATGGTGAGCACCATAGTCATCAGGATGGCATACTGCGGAAGGGGGTGGGGGGACATAAGCATGTAGCCCCCTTGGTCCAGCTGCACTCTGCTGCCCCCAGGCCTCTGCACAGCAGGGTGCAATGGTGCAGCACGGGCTTGGACACAGCCGGAGTTCGCCTAGCTCCTTCACTCACTAGCTGGTGTGACTTTTGGCAATCCACCAGACCAGGGGTCGGCAAACTTTTGAGACAGAAGAGCCAATCCTGTCCCTCACAACAATTTAAAAATTATTTGAGAGCTATAAAACAAATGAAATCACCATTATGTGAATAATAGCCTTTAAAAATTTTATAAATGAAACTATGATAGTTTTATTTTCATTTTCAATTTTACTTCAGAGCCACATGGTAGCTCGCGAGCCGCAGTTTGCCAAGCCCTGCACTAGACCTCTGAACTGCGGTTTGCCTGTCTGTAACGTGACACAATTAACTGTTCCTTTATAACTGTTGCTTTGCTGATGAGAAGAGATGCAGGTCAAGTGCTCAGCACGGCCTGGCATACAATAAAGCACTCTTCAATGTGAGCTGTTGTCAATGAACACATTCTTCCTCTGCCAGGGACACACCTCCCCAGTTGTCCATCAAGCTAATTCCTTCTGTCCATCAATAGCCAGCTCCTCTGGTATCAACTTCCAGGAAGCCTTCCCTGAGCGCCAAGTCAGGGCTCCTCCACAGGCGCCTCTTTTTGTGCCTCTCCCACTCTCCTAGGAGTGGGTGCATAGAGGACTGGGACTGACTGATGGCTGCTCCTTGGTGGCCTGCCTGGGACTGGTCACAAAGCAGGTGCTCAGCAAGGGTTTGATGGGTTATTCAAGGCACATGCAGTGCCACCTCAGGCTTGTCCTCCCAACCTCCCAAGCCAGTTTTACCTCAAAGCCAAACACCAGCTGCACAGAGGCCCCACGGGTCAGGATGCTGTGATAGGCATGGCTGACGAAGAGGAAGTCCAGGATACCCAGGAGGAACATAAGGGCTGTGGGGACCCCCCAAATGGGGGGTTGGAGGGGTCAGCCCAGGGCCTGGCAGCCACTTCCTGCTCTAAGACAGCTCCCACCCCAAACCCACCAGGGCCCCAGCCATCTAGTCAGGTGGACACACTCCACTGAACCCGGCCCCGTGGGAACTCCAATTCTGCCTAGGGGGGGCATCAGGGTGGCCCAAGCTCCAGGTGAGGAAGCAAAGAGCTAAGGGGCCAGGCAGTTGAGAAGCTATGGAGTGGAACAGGGCTGAGACTATGCAAATGAACTTCCTAAATTATCTTTCCTGTACAGCTGTGAGCTGAAGGGACAGCCTGTGCTCTAGGGTACAAGTCCATGGCCAGTAACTTTTCATGTTCCAGTCCTTCATGGTGCCTCGTCTCCCTCCGGCTCCCTCCTCTCCCCTCGCTTGGGTCTCACTCACAGATAATGCGGCAGTGAAAGAGCCAGGAGATATTGGGGCTGCGTTCCATCTGAGGCAGAGCAGAGAAGGGGCCCGTCAGGAAGGCTGGGGCTCACCCACAGCCCCAGCCCAGCCCTTATTCCACAAGCCTGCCCACCGGCCACTCCCTGGCTTCTGTCTGCTTCAGAGAGCCCCTGACTCGACTCACAAAGTCCACACGGTCCTCAGCCAGCCAGTGAAAACACTTGAGGAAGAGAAGGAGAGTGAAGAGTGCAACAAAGCGGGGGCTGAAGTCGTCCCGAAAGACGGTGAAGGCCAGACAAGTCTCAGTGACAGCATACCAGGAACGTTCCAGAAGGTGCTAGGGGTTGGCAAAGAATGATGTGAAACTCAGACATCCGCTTACCCAGATTCCTGGCCCTCACCTTTGGGGCCACGAACAGCTTACCTCCATCTCTGCTGCCCTCAGCTGTCCAAAGAACACCTTGCCCATCACCTTGCCCAAGAGGAAGACAAGGACGAAGGCCTGGATATATAGGACCTAAGAGTAAGGAGAAGCTCTTGTTTGAGGTCACTTTCAGCTTTGCTCTGCCTGGGGCTCATCATTCAGGAACCTCCTTGCATCCCCATCACAATTTATTCAAAGTTAGGCAGCTGGTAGCTACTTCACTTCTCTCCTACTCTTACCTCAGGCCCCACCCCTGTTTCAAGCAACCTCCTCCTTCCCTCCTACAGAGTACCTCCCTCCCTGAGCCCTCAACTCACTGCCATGCTGGGGCTGGACTTGGTCAAGTACACCACAGTGGGGTAGAACTGGTGCTTGAGGTAGTAGGCATGAGCCACTACGGCCCCCGTCAGCGCCAGGCTGGCCGCCATCATCACTGCGGTGCGGAACATTGCCCTGGCCTGGAGACCTGCAAGGGGAAAGGAAAGGAAACTTGTATGCTGTCCATACGGTGCAAACCTAGCTGGTGCCTGAAACACAGTCAGGAGATAAAAACAACAAAAAACTCATTTCACCCTCACAATCATCATCACATCAAGAATAGCATATGCTCCACTTTACAAATAAGACAACTGAGACTCAAAGGGGTTAAGTGGTCACACTGACGCAGGGCCTGGCGCCTGGGTCAGTGTTGTTTCAAATCTAGGGCTCTTTCCTCGCTGCCTGACAAGCCGCTGCCCCTAGGGAGGTATGAGTTAAGGCAGCAATGCTGCAGGGGGGAGAACTGCTACCACTAACCCTAAAGTGAAGGTGATGCGGTAGGATGCAAAAGAAATCTCCAGAAGCGGGAACGTGCGGCCTGGACTAGGAAAAGCCAAGGCGCTGGAGGGTGCAGACGGAGAGGCGACATCGCCGGTGACAGCTTTGCCAGGGTAGGCAGCTCCGCCGCGCGCCGCGCGGGAGCAGGCGGAGTACGTCAGCCTGGAACCCTGGCGCTCCCAACCCCTGGGGCAGTGTCAACTCGGGGCACCAGAGGAATGGCCGACCGATAGGATGCAGTGGCGGGACTGAGAGGGGCTCTAGTCGTCCCCGCGGTCGCGCACCTGTAAGCGCCTAAAGCTACCAGCGTCGCAGGTGGGGCCCAGCATCAGGAGAACGGGCGCGCGGGCGCCTGAGGTCTACCGCCAGGTGACAGGCCGAAAGCGGGCGGCGTGGCTGAGAAGCGCGTCCACCCCGGAGACCTCAAGGAGATGGGCCAGGGCCCGACTCTAACCACAACCTGGGCACGACCCCGACCTACTCACCAGGAGCCCAACGCCGCGAGCCCGCTCAATCCCCGCGACTGCGGAGGCGGCTCCGGTTAACAACACTCCCCACCCCCTGCGAGCCGGAACTTGGGGGATGAGACACCTCACTTCCGGCAGAGCGGGGCGCGGCGTGGACCGTACCAAGTGCACACTTCCCTTTCCCGCATCGCGCGCCTTCCTTGGTGCGGGGAGCAGTCGTCCCACCACCGTATCTGGAATTCGTGCCCACGGTTCGAGCAAGAAATGCAAGAGGTGGTCGAGGCGGAATAGGGCAATCCGGGAGGTGGTTCGAGTCCCCCTGTTTATTAATCGCAGATGGTGTCGTCTCCGCCGCCGAGTGTTCTCTACCTAGTGGAGGACTCAGATTCTCAAAGTGGCTGGAAGGTGGAGCATCGTGTGGGTCGTACCACTTGGAGGGGGGAGTAGGCGAGGGATAGACATTATTGGCTTAAGAAAAAATGTCTTAGAGACTCATTCTAGGGCGATACACAACGGATTGGCAAATAAGACGCTTTCTTGGAAAACTGGATTCACAAAAGAAAAATTTGCTTCCTCCACGATCACCCCCAAATTGTGTGGGAGTGAGTTGGGTCCCCGTGGCTACTACTGATTGGTCGATATAGAGTTACGCGGACCAATAAGAAACAGAAAGGAAATTTGCTGGCCTATAGAAAGAGCAAAGCAGATAAGCGGTTGCTAGGGGCGGAAAGCAGTGTTGCCTAGGACTAAGTCCAACCCTAGGGGGCGGAGAGTGGGGAAGGCGCAGTCGGTGGGTGATCGGTGTCTGCCCTGGGGAAACGTTTACTGTGCCACTAAGGGGAGGGACAGCTAGGTGTGCCTCGGACCGAGGCGAAGGCAGACATTTAATGCCGGCTTATTTTAGGATGATAATGTTCTGTGCCAAGGGATTGACTTCAGTGCATTCCCGCGATCCTCCCTGTGCCTACTGCTTTGCTGTCTCTATTGTTCGGTTCTGGGCCTTAGGCACAGCTTCCCCCGTCTTGGGCTGCATTGTATTTCTTTCTTTCTTTTTCTTTTTTTTTTTTTTTTAAGATTTTTATTGGGGAATTGGGGGGAGGGTGGGAACAGTGCTGGGGAATTGGGGGAAGGGGAACAGACAAGTTGCTGTCATTTTTGTTCTTCAGTCTAGTTGTGGAGGACGTTGCTTCACTGGCCCAAGTTGGCACCATCATTGCCCTCTTCCCCGGGCGAGGCAGATCAGTCGCCGGCTTCTGGACAGCCGCTCACGCTGGCTGCTGGCTACACACGGTAGCCCTTGGCAACCCACTGCCACAGGGGCTGCAGCCTATGCCGTCGCCAGTGACTCAGGGCAGCCCAGCTCCAGGTTGAGCTGTTGTTCAGCATCTTAGCTGTGGAGGGCAGTGTCACTGGCCCTCATATGTGGGATCCGAACCGGGGTTCTCTGGCGTCCCAAGCCAGTTCTTAACCATCGCGCCACTCGGCCGGCCCTGCATTGTATTTATTTCAGTTTGTGTCTCAGTCACTGCCAACCCAGACCGCTCATTGACAGTTTGGAGCTAATGTACCCAACTTTGTGCCTTGTTTCCGTCGTTTCATTTAACCATCAATCATTAAAGTTTATGACCTAGGTGGTGCTATCCTCGTTTTATATGTGGGACAAGTGAGATTCAGAGATTTAACAAGACCTATCTTGGGATTGGCATTGAGTCTAATTCTAAATTCCTGTACTGTTGGCCTCAGCCACTGTCACCACCACCTGCTGACTTCAATTGGCCTGATCACTTTAGCTTGTAATCAATCTGTCACTGAGTTGGCTCCCCATAAAGCCATCTGTAACTTTTTAGTGACATTAGAATTAATAAATGAGTTCAGCAAGGTGCAGGATAGACGATTAATATGCAAAAATCAATTACATTTTTATATGCCAGCAATTAGCAATCCAAAAATTAAATCAAGAAAACAATTCGATTTACAATGCACACAAAAAAATGCTTATAAATAAATTTAGCAAAAGAAGTATAAAACCGGTACAGTGAATATTAACAAAATATCGCTGAAAGGAACTAAAAGTTTAAATAAATGGAAAGATACCTCAAATGTATAGGTTTGAAGACTTAATATTGTTAGATGGCAATACTCCCCAAAATTGATCTAAAAATTCTACAGTCCTTATCAAAATGCCAGTTGCCTTTACTGCAAAAATTGACAAGGTGATCCTAAAATTTATGTTGAAATACGAGACCCAAACTAGAGAAAACAGTTCTGAAAAGGAAGAATTAAATAAAGAGAAAAAAGGAAGAAAAAATCTGGAGTATTCATACTTCCTGATTTTAAAACTTACTACGAAGCCACAATAATCAAGACAGACAAATAAATCAATGGAATAGAATTAAGAGTCCAGAAGTAAACC